CCGACAAAAATAGTATAAAACAAACAAAACTCTAAAGATCTACCATCTGTAAATGATAAACAGTGCTTCCGAATGAGATGAAGTAAAATTCGCTCGCTAGGTCAATATAAATATTTGATAAAATGTCGGAAACTCAAAACAGGACCGTCGCAAGAGAGAAATGGAAAAATGCTCAGGTCCAGCTCGAAGCCCCGGGTGCGCCGTGCCCGTCACACAAAAGTGTGCCCCTGGGGGTCTTAATTTAGTCTTACTGGGGGTCTTAAATTAGTTTCCTCCACTCTTTGCTTTATATTTAATTATTTCCGCCGAACATTTGCATTTGTCTTACATATAGACAAAAATTGAGAAATATTCCAACACCCTACTCACGCATTCACTAATCTAAATCTAAGCATCTATTTTCTCAATTAATTGTAAACTTCCTTGATATGTTGTAGTTATTTATTTATTTTGAGAGAAAACTAGTCTCCTCCAATCTTTGGTTTATATTTAATTATTTCCGCTGAGCATTTATATTTGTCTTACATATAGACAAAAATCGAGAAATATTCCAACACCCTTTCATGCAGTCACTATTCTGAATCTAAGCATCTATTTTCTCAATTATTGTATACTTCTTTCATATGTTTCAGTTATTTCTTTATTTTGAGAGAAAACTGGTCTCCTCCAATCTTTGCTTTATATTTAATTATTTCTTCTGAACATTTATATATGTCTTAGATATAGACTAGAATCGAAAAATATTCTAACACCCTATTCACGCAGTCACTAAGCTAAATCTAAGCATCTATTTTCTCAATTAATTGTATACTTCTTTGATATGTAGTAGTTATTTCTTTTTTTGAGAGAAAACAAGTTTCCTCCTAACTTTGCTTTATATTTAATTATTTCCGCTGAACGTTTTTGTCGTTCTTACATATAGACAAGAATCGAGAAATATTCCAAAACCCTATTCACGCAGTCACTAATCTGAATCTAAGCATCTATTTTCTCGATAATTGTATACTTCTTTTATATGTTTTAGTTATTTATTTTCTTTGAGAGAAAACTTGTCTCCTCCAATCTTTGCCTCATATTTAATTATTTTCGCAGAACTTTCATATTTGTCTTACATATGGACCAGAATCGAGAATAATTCCAACACACTTTTCATGCCGTCACTAACCTAAATCTAAGCATCCAATTCCTCAATTACTTGCAAAGTTCTTTGATATGTTTTAGTTATTTCTTTATTTAGAGAGAACACTAGTTTCCTCCAATCTTTGCTTCATATTTAATTATTTCCGCAGAACTTTTATATTTGTCTTACATATAGTCAAGAATCGAGAATTATTCCAACGCCATTTTCATGCAGTCAACAATTTAAATCTAAGCATCTATATTTTCTCAATTAATTGCATACTTCTTTAATATGTTGTCGTTATTTCTTTATTTAGAGAGAAAACTAGTCTCTCCCAATCTTTGCTTTATATTTATTTATTTTCGCCGAACATATTTGTTTTACATATAGACTGAAACGAGAAATATTCCAGCACCCTTTTCATACAGTCACTAATCTTAATCTAGGCATCAATTTTCTAAATTAATGGTATACTTCTTTGACATGTTGTAGTTATTTCTTTTTTTTAGAGGGAAAACTAGTTTCCTCCAATCTTTGCTTTATATTTAATTATTTCTGCAGAACTTTTATATTTTTCTTACATATAGACAAGAATCGAGAAATATTCCAACACCCTCTTCACGCAGTCACTAATCTAAATCTGAGCATCTATTTTCTCAATTAATTGTAAACTTCTTTGATATGTTGTAGTTATTTCTTTATTTAGAGAGAAAAAACTAGTTTCCTCCAATCTTTGATTCATATTTAATAATTTCGCAGAACTTTTAACTAAATTCTCCGTTTAAAAATTCTATATCACTCTATTGTTGAAAGAAATCAGACATTTTCATCGCTAGAGCTACCTTCAATTAATAGTTTTCAAGTTTATTTCTTTGTAATTTTGAAAATAAATTATGCATAGTTTTAAGATATTTTGACACCTTTTAGTCAATTATTTGTGAAGTTATATTTCCCTCGGCAATTTCCCTATGGCTATTCTTTACTTTCATGATTTGTATAACCAATACAAATTAGCACTATTTTGCTTCCAGTATTTGCTTTTCCAGCACTTTGATTTCGCCAGTAAAATTCCTAAACACCTGATAATAGCTTCTACATCAAAATTCTCTTAATTTTCGCTTCATGTAAAATCTATAAGCTCAGGTATTATATGTTCTTATTATCAAGCAGTCTGGTTGTGTAAAGAAAAACAGTTCTGTTTTTCAGAGCTTATACTAAACTCGGACTGCATGCGTACACTCATTATTTTAAAATCATAATGCGCTAGCCATTATCTAAATACAACAATAATCACTGGGGTACCTCGGGATTGTGACACCCGTGTTTACTCAAAAGTAAACCCCCTGAGAAATTATTTAGTTCATAATTAACTACTTCAGACGGAAAATAATTACTTTTTTACTTATTTAATATTTTTAAAAATTATAATTGGAAACAATTTATAATTAATAGCAGATCAGTATAATAAATTCAAATCAAAGACATATGAGCTCTTTCATGTCTTCCTCTTTTCATAAAAAAAATTATATTTATTATTCAATAATTTAATGAGATCATTAAAACAGTGAAATAATTAAGTTAATAGATAATCACTGAATTCTCCTTTTTAAAATTCTATATCACTCTATTTTTGACTGAAATCAAACATTTTCATCGCTAGAGCTACCGTCAATTAGTAGTTTTCTAGTTTATTTCATTGTAATTTTGAAAATAAATTATGCATAGTTTTAAGATATTTTGACAACTTTTAGTCAAATATTAGAGCAGTTATATTTCCCTCGTCAATTTCTCCATGCCTATTCTTTACTGTCATGATTTGTATAACCAATACAAATTAGAACTATTTTGCTTCCAGTATTTGCTTTCCCAGCACTTTGATTTCGCCAGTAAAATTCCTAAACTCCTGTTAATAGCTTCTACATCAAAATTCTCTTAATTCTCGCTTCATGTAAATTCTATAAGCTCAGGTATTATAATATATCATCAAGCACATGATAATATGAATATATCATATATTCATATTATCAAGCAGTCTAGTTGCTTAAAGAAAAACAGTTCTGTTTTTCAGAGCTTATACTAAACTCGGACTGCATGCGTACACTCATTATTTTAAAATCATAGTGCGCTAGCCATTATCTGAATAAAGCAATAATCACTGGGGTACCTCGGGATTGTGACACCCGTGTTTACTCAAAAGTAAACCCCCTGAGAAATTATTTAGATCATAATTAACTACTTCAGACGGAAAATAATTACTTTTTTACTTATTTAATATTTTTAAAAATTATAATTGGAAACAATTTATAATTAATAGCAGATCAGTATAATAAATTCAAATCAAAGACATATGAGCTCTTTCATGTCTTCCTCTTTTCATAAAAAAAATTATATTTANTTTTATTTATTATTCAATAATTAAATGAGATCATTAAAACAGTGAAATATTTAAGTTAATAGATAATCACTGAATTCTCCTTTTTAAAATTCTATATTACTCTATTTTTGAATAAAATCAAACATTTTTATCGCTAGTGCTACCATCAATTAGTAGTTTTCTGGTTTATTTCTTTGAAATTTTGTTTGTTTGTTTGTTTGGGTTTTTGGCGCAAGAGCCAGTTTTTGCTATATCGCGCCTCCAACTAGGTAGATAATAGTTTTCTAGTTTATTTCATTGTAATTTGGAAAATAAATTATGCATAGTTTTAAGATATTTTGACACCTTTTAGTCAATTATTAGAGAAGTTATACTTCCCTCGGCAATGTCCCTGGCTATTCTTTACTTTCATGATATGTATAACCAATACAAATTAGCAGTAATTGCTTCCAGTATTTGCTTTTCCAGCACTTTGATTTCGCCAGTAAAATTCCTAAACACCTGATAATAGCTACAACATCGAAATTCTCTTAATTTTCTCTTAATTCCTAAGCACCTGATAATAGCTTCTACTTCAAAATTCTCTTAATTTTCGCTTCATGTAAATTCTATAAGCTCAGGTATTATATGTTCATACTATCAAGCAGTCTGGTTGCGTAAAGAAAAACAGTTCTGTTTTTCAGAGCTTTTACTAAACTCGGACTGCATGCGTACACTCATTATTTTAAAATCATAATGCGCTAGCCATTATCTAAATACAGCAATAAACACTGGGGTACTTCGGGATTGTGACACCCGTGTTTACTCAAAAGTAAAACCCCTGAGAAATTATTTAGATCATAATTAACTACTTCAGACGGAAAATAATTACTTTTTTACTTATTTAATATTTTTAAAAATTATAATTGGAAACAATTTATAATTAATAGCAGATCAGTATAATAAATTCAAATCAATGACATATGAGCTCTTTCATGTCTTCCTCTTTTCATCAAAAAAAATTATATTTATTATTCAATAATTTAATGAGATCATTAAAACAGTGAAATAATTAAGTTAATAGATAATCACTGAATTCTCCTTTTTAAAATTCTATATCACTCTATTTTTGAATAAAATCAAACACTTTTATCGCTAGTGCTACCGTCAATTAGTAGCTTTCTAGTTTATTTCTTTGAAATTTTGAAAATAAATCATGCATAGTTTTAAGATATTTTGACAACTTTTAGCCAAATACTAGAGCAGTTATACTTCCCTCGGCAATGTCCCTGGCTATTCTTTACTTTCATGATATGTATAGCCAATACAAATTAACAGTAAATGCTTCCAGTATTTGCTTTTCCAGCACTTTGATTTCGCCAGTAAAATTCCTAAGCACATGATAATAGCTTCAACATCGAAATTCTCTATGAAATCAAACATTTTCATCGCTAGAGCTGCCGTCAATTAGTAGTTTTCTAGTTTATTTCTTTGTAATTTTGAAAATAAATTATGCATAGTTTTAAGATATTTTGACACCTATTAGTCAATTATTAGAGAAGTTATATTTCCCTCGGCAATTTCCCTATGGCTATTCTTTACTTTCATGGTTTGTATAACCAATACAAATTAGCACTATTTTGCTTCCAGTATTTGCTTTCCCAGCACTTTGATTTCGCCAGTAAAATTCCATTTCCTCTGATAATAGCTTCTACATCAAAGTTGGTCTCTCATATGGCGCCGAAATTCTCATAAGAATCAGCGACTTGTTACTACGCCAAAAGTTATTACGAATTACTCCAAAAGTTATTTACGAACCTATTACTATTGCGAACTTTTACTTTTGCTAGCTTTGATGTCCGCGAAAGAAAAATGGCGACGAAAGAAGGACAAGTGCCGCAATTGAAGCGTAGACGAGAAACTATTCGAAGTAGCATAACTCGTTTCTCAACTGAGATTCACAACATGACAGAAGTTACTTCGGAAGTTATATGGAATATGCGATAATTCGTTTAACAACTATCTTAAATGAAATGAAAACGGTTGATAATGAAATCCATGTTCTTTTCACGGATGACGAATACGAAAATGATATTACCCAATGTGAAACTTATACAGAAAGTGTTCAGCCTCGCAATTTTTATAGCCCGAAGAATCATCCAAAATTAATTATCGCCGACTATTAACATCAGCTACAATCTTTATTTGTGCCCTTAAAATTCGACTAATTCGGTTACTAATCCATCACTTGCTGGTCAAATAACAACGGTTAGACAACGTACACAGTGAAACTGCCGACGATTAAGTCAGAACCATTTAGCGGTGAAATTGAAAATTGGTAAAGTTTTAGAGAACAATTCCAGTCTTTAGTGGACACCAATCCAAACCTTTCAACTATTGATAAACATGTGCTCCTAAGAGATTATTTGCAAGACGAACCAAGACTTTTAGTTGATGGTATCAGTATTGTTGCTGCCTCATATGAAACCACTAAAAAGCTACTAATGAATAGATATGGGGAAAAAAATAGAATTATCCAAGAACATTTGGAAATTCTAACACCAGTACGGCAACAGACCTAAATGAAACCTACATTGAATGTAATAGAAGATTGGAGGCCTTACGCGCACTTGGTGAAGACATTGGAAGCCACGGTCGTGTATTAGCTCTAAAATTTCTACGAGCGTTTCCAGACGACACTTGTAAACAGGTCATTGAGCTCAGAAATGCAAAACCATAACTGACTATGACACTCGCATACAAAAGTTAAAAGGCTCTAACCGTTGTTTCTTGTGTACTAATAAAGGACACAGAATCTCAAATTGTCCTCGTAAAGACACTGCTAGCTGTAGAAAATGCAAGAAGAAACACCACGTATCCATTTGTTCATCTGCACTGAACACTGCAATCCAAAATAGCGAGGTTCATCACATTAACATACCTAAGTCTAGCTTTACCCATTTACAAATTGCACGCGTGCATGTTACTGGCCCCACGGGTCTTACGTAGTTAACCCGATGCATTTTGGATGGAGGCAACCAAGCAAGCTTCGTCGATGCAAACCTCATTCACAAACTGAAACTTCCAATTGTAAGCACTGAGAAACTAAACGTACACGTTTTTGAATCTCCCAGTACTTCACGAAACTTGCGATGATGTGTGCAACTTTCACTTTCAAGTTTGTGAAACAAAAACACTGTTTCTGTAGCAACTTTCGAAAGTTCCAACAGATATACCCCACACCCTGCTGCCCCTGCGGACGTTGTTCGATTTACTCGAAGCCGAAAACTTACACTTACAGACCCTCCAGGAAACGACAACTTACCCATCAAATTGCTCATTGGTGGCGATTATTATTAGCATGTGGTCACTACGGAATCTCCGATTAAACTTACAGAATCTCTTGTCATAGTACCCTCTATTTTTGGATGGATCCTTAATGGGTCACGAACACATACCTCCATCAAACATGATTCATAATGTCACCATGTTTCTGTTCAAATTTTTGGTGATTGTTTGGACGAAGAGCGTTGCTTGTGCAAGTTGGATTGTATTGGTATCAAAGACACTCATATACGGAACAAGACTGTTCGAGAGAATGAAATTATGAGAGAATTTCACGAAACCTACAAAACTGAGGGAAATCGTAGAGTTTCATCTCTGCCTAGGAAGCATACAACATCAATTTTGTCTACCAACATAGCTACTACCGTAAAACGTTTGAAGTTTCTCCAGAAGCGACTTGCATACAATGATGCTATGAAGAAAGAATACGATAGTTGTATGCTAAAGTACATTGTGCAAGGACACGTTGAAGTTTAGGAGCTAGAACCTTCGAATTTAAACGCTGTATTTCACCTACCCCATCATGCTTTCAAAAAAGTGAAACTTGACGAGACCAAATAGAGGATTGTGTTCGATACCTCATCACACGATCCAGGAATGCCCTCACTGAATGATACTTTAGAAATCGGTCCAAATCGTTTACCTGAGACAATTGGTTGTCTACTCAGACTGCGAATGCACAAATTTTCAATCACAGGTGACGGAAAAAAGGCCTTTCTACAACTAAGCCTACACGAAAGAGATAGAGATTCCACAAGATTTTTCTGGTACAGACTATCACAGGGCAAAACTAACCCAGCTTTCACGGACGAAATAATTACTTACATATTTACTCGTCTATCTTTCGGACTAGCATGCAGCCCCTTTTTGTTTTGTGCAGCAACACGCGAAGTAGCTTCTAAGCACATACATGAATTCCCGATTGCTGCTCCAATGATGGATAAACATCTTTACATGGACGATATTGTTGCTAGTGTTGAAACAGAATTTGAAATCCCCACACTACATAAAGAAGTCAAAGAACTGATGCAATTGATTGAAATTCCAATGAAAAAATGGGTTACAAATTCCACAATGCTTCAGAGTCAATTACGAGATCAAGATGAAGGATTCAAAACAACTGTTAAAGTTTTAGGCATAGAGTAGAATACAGAAACCCTAGGAAATACTTTCAAAACCTGTCTCTGCGCTGTTCAAGACAAACCACTAACAAAGAGATGGCTACTCCACCGTATTGCTAGCTTTTACGATCCTTTAGGACTGTTTTCACCATTTGTAATCTTTGGAAAAATTCTGTTTCAAGATACATGGATTCTAGGAATCAAATGGGATGAAATACTGCCCTCTAACTTGGCAACTTCATGGAATGCTGCTGTTCGAGAACTTGATTTCGTTTGCTACTTTCAAATTCCTCGATTTATAGGCGTTTCATTGCACGTTCCTTTTACTAGTCATGTCTGAACGAGCTGTACTGAACGAGCCTATGAAGCAGTTCTATACATAATCAGTTCTCAAGGTGATCAAGCAAACGTGCATTTTGTGTGCAGTCGCAACAGACTTGCACCTATCAAGAAAGTCACCTTGCCCCGTTTGGAACTGCTAGCGATACTTCTACTCTATTGCTGCGATACTTCTGTGTTGAAGTCTTTTGTGTATAGCCTATTCGGGGAGGATGTTGCACGCCGGTAATTAACTTAGTAACGAGATTAAATAAAAGGACTTAGTTGTCTCTACATGGCAACACTTTTGTTTAGTAGTCGTTTGTAAATAAAGGTAGATGGTGTTCTTTCAAAATATACTGAAGTTGTGTTTTAATTACGTTTACGGGAATTAACATCATTTATAGCTGGAATACTTCGCTTAAATGCTTTAAATGCTTGCTTGGCTTCCTTAATATTTTTTATATGTTTTGTTTCCGATGCTTGTGATTTATTCTGTTGTTTGCCTATTTCTGTACTTTTTCAGTGATGCTGTCGATGTCTTTTTATTTTTTAAAGGTTTTGTAAAACGGAGACAATCTTTGCTTAGTCGAATTCATATCGCTTGCATTTTCTTCTTTACTGAGCATTTCTTCTCTGTGGAATGCTTCGAATATGTAAGGGTTTCGGGGTGAAAGAAAAAAGTCTGACTAAAGCTGAAATACTCCTTGGTGTTATGCCTTTTACAGTGTTCCTCCATAACTTTCAATCTATTTCTCCCCATCCTGTTTTATTTTGTGTAAGGTTCCACCTCTTGAGAATTCCAATCCTATCTAGTGTTTCTCAGTAGCGTCCTTGATGTCCTTGTTAAACAATCTCTGTACTTATTCCTTCCAGTTGGTTTAGTAATTAGTTAGCTCCCATAGGATTTTAACTTCCTGATTTGTCACAAAATCAGTTGTATTATCAGATACCAATTACTGTTCTTTTTAAATAGAAAAAAAAAGATTATAAAATTTGCTGGAAATTTG